GATAAGTCAGACTTCTTGAACTTGCCATCCTCCGCTAAGAAATATTCACAAGATGGTTTCAATATGTACGGATTCCTGTAGTCTTTGTTCCCATGGAATTTTGGTTTTTCTGGCTTGGCCCAATATGGGGTGTATTCAAGCTGATTGGAGATGTGAAATCTAATTTGCTCAATCAATGCTGGGTACAGAGCCCATTGGAAAACTTGTTCTGCTTCATTCACAACATACAGCATCTGCACGCGTCAAAACATGATGAGAAACCACTGTTTGTGTCCCTTTCTGAACAATCCATGCGACCTGAGCCACAGTTTGCAGCTGTGTCCTTCTAAACAATGCCATCAAGCAAGCTTAGAATGCCAAAGAGGGAATTTCTAAATGCCCACTTTTCTCTAAGAGCAAAACTGAAGCAAACTGAACATTTCTAGATGTGGTATTATTCTGCATCTTTATCCAATTATATCTGTCTACGACCCAAAAGAAGTAGTCAAAGATATAAACTTTAGCTAGTAGAAAGGGACGTCCATCCCCTGTTCCAAAGTTCAGGTCATCTCAATTACCTCTTCTCTTTGCAGGAGAATGAATAGTTTTCTGGAAGTCGTGGAGAATCTCTTATTTTGTATTACAGAAGAACCCTCTTAAGAGCTCTCCAATGAGTTACATGATACCCATTTGCTCATTCGTTTTAGGGTGATTAGAAAATATTCTTTTCAGTATGGCTCTCTTTCTTACACCCGCTTCATTTTACAGCTTTCTTTTATCAAACTGAAGACAAGATATAATAACTTACAACTAGACACTGTAGAGACCAGATGTGCTTAACTTTAGCAAAGATGCTGCATCAGTGCTCCAGCTACCCGTCTAATCTAAGGTGCTACAGAGCATGAGAAACGGTATTGACTGCTACCTATACCTTTTCACATGGCTACGTATATTCTTGGTAAACCAAATCTGCACCGTAACTTAAAATATGAGCTGAGATCAGGTAGATTCTTGGTCCTGTATACAATATAACGCAGCATTTTGATTGCAGCGAGGAGCTACGCACACACATTGAAGTGCTACCCTTCAAGAATGGAAATCTCATGGGTAGTTCTTAAGCTTTCTAACATTTTGCTAGGTATGGACTATTAAATTTAAAACAGACCTTCACAACAATCCTCACCACCAAAACCCTTTTTAAAAAGGGAATTCTTAGGAAGCTGAAATTTACACTCATCTGAAATCAACACAGAAGTAGATTTTTCTACTTTCCCTTGCTCTCTCTCCAAATCTTCACTAGAAGAGTCACTCAGCTTTCCAGATCTACTCACTGGGTAATGGAAAGGTATCTGTTCCACTAATAAATTGGTGGATGAACACAACTGGACAATTTTAAGATGAACATCAATTGGATACTTCCAGATCTACTCACTGGGTAATGGAAAGGTATCTGTTCCACTAATAAATTGGTGGATGAACACAACTGGACAATTTTAAGATGAACATCAATTGGATACTTCCAGATCTACTCACTGGGTAATGGAAAGGTATCTGTTCCACTAATAAATTGGTGGATGAACACAACTGGACAATTTTAAGATGAACATCAATTGGATACTTCCAGATCTACTCACTGGGTAATGGAAAGGTATCTGTTCCACTAATAAATTGGTGGATGAACACAACTGGACAATTTTAAGATGAACATCAATTGGATACTTCCAGATCTACTCACTGGGTAATGGAAAGGTATCTGTTCCACTAATAAATTGGTGGATGAACACAACTGAACAATTTCAAGATGAACATCAGCTGGATACTCACAAGAAATATCTCTGCAAACTTGTTCTGGAGGCAACGCTCAGTTAATCAGATATATAGAAAAGTATCATGTTTGGCTGTTGAAATATGTCTCTGTAGAACCTAAATTTTCTTTAAGCAAGGCTCACCCACCTAAGACCTACCTAGAATACCACAAAATGCTTTAGCTGAATAAGGGGGAATTGGGGTAGACTGGAGACCTTGATATAGGCTAAAAACAAGCAGAAAGATATACCTCTCTCACCCTTGATGTGAAGGTACAAGCAGCAGATGCACCAGCATTCACATTTATGGGAACAAAGCTCAGCTCAATGACTTCTCTTTACATTCCACTGGCATAAGATGCAATGTAAAAGCTTTTATAGTTCTACATCGTCAGAGCCTGCCTTCCTGTCATCTCACTTGGATCCTTTGTGGACTGAACAATAGTCATTAGCTCTAGGTAAACTAATAGTGGGTTGGGTTTGGTTTTTTTTGAGGGGGTCATTGTTGACTCCTGGCAACTGGACTAGTCCCTGCAGTTTTCTTGGCAAGGTGTTTTGGAAGTGGTTTGCCCTTGCCTGCTTCCTAGGGCTGAGAGGGAGTGACTGGCCCAAGGTCACGCAGCTGGCTTCGGGCCTAAGGTGGGACTAGTACTCACAGTCTCCTGGTTCCTAGTCTGATGTCTTAACCACAACACCAAACTGGCTGTCAAACTAGCAGTAGACAACATATAATATTAAGAAATATTGCTAACTTTATTCAAGTTCTCTTAACTTTGCTGAAAATGATTCTCAGTGTGCTTTCTTGAGCTGGGCTCTTCTAATTTACCCCAAATTTTACTTTAAATGGAATTTAAAGGCAACCTAGAAATTGGATTTTTCAGGAATTCTCCAATGGTTTTCCACCAAAAAAGAAAGAAAGAAAGAAAGAAAGAAAGAAAGAAAGAAAGAAAGAAAGAAAGAAAGAAAGAAAGAAAGAAAGAAAGACAAAATCTCCTTTGAACTGAACTCAACCCCTAGGGATTTCATGCATGTATTTATTTATTGAATGTTGAGGCCTCCTGACTTCTTGACAATTCTGGGCGGCTTACAAATAAAGAGACAATACATATAAAAAGGAACACAACACAATGTAATTTTCTTGGCAACAATGCCAAAGGGGTTGGCATTTGCCACTGCCTTTTCCTGGAATGAATGTTAAGTTCCCAGTTTAGCTTACATGTATTTTTGAAAAATGTCCCTTGAACTTGTAATACCTTTTTCTTACAAAAAGTGAATGCTGGACTACTTGGATCTGTCGGATCATGCCGAGGGAGGAAGCTTAAACTTTTCTCATGCTGTTCTCCTGCATCTTCTGAAAAACATCCCCAAATATGTTATCTGTCTCCAGGAGATTTCCCTAATCTGTGATTCCTGAGCCTGCTTCTTCTTAAAAGAGGCACGAGGTCAGCCCTAAGATTAATGTAAAAATATACCTTCATTGTAACATGGAAGATTTTTCCCCTATATCCACAAAAGTAATGGAAACTACACCAGGAACAAATGGGGACTGGACTCTACCATCTGGCTTTCTCCAGACTATCAGAAGACATTCCTGCTGGAGATAGCCAGGAGGGAAGGAACGATTGTGCACCTTGCGATCCAAATGACAAGCTGCAACATAAAAATGGCTGTTGCGTGGTGCAGAAATTTGGTTTTTCAAGAGATTTCTGTGCCACTCACTATCCACCAGCACTAAGGCACATTGCAACACGCCTCTCTCTTACCTGGCCTTCAGAAATGTAGCAGAACCTCTAGGCAAGCTACCTCAAAGTATTTGTTTGCTTATCTTCACAGGAAGGGCATCTTTGAGACTATTGTTCTCTAATTGGATCTGAGGATGAAGCAGATGTCAGGGTCTTCTGCACTTTCAGCTAGCTCAGGTGTCGCCCACAGAAAGCAGAAATCCTACGCATGAGAAAATGCTGGTTTTTAAAGCAAATATTTAAGGCTTATAAATTGAATGTCTCTCCACTTTCATTTCAGGCTTCCGAACATACATTCTGTTGCGGTTATTACCTCCTTGAGGATCATGTTACATCTTTCAGACTACCACCTCAAGAAATCGAGCCAATCCGTACAAATAATATCAAGAGCTGAGAACTTTGCTCTGCTGAGACCACCACCGCTCACACAGATATGCTCGCACAAGACACTAAGCTATAATGTAGCTTGCTTGCTTTTCACTAGCGATTTGTGTAAGCCTGGCCAATCATGGCTTCTAACTGCAGATAAGCAAACCATGGCTTAGTGCAATGTATGAACTTCAGTGTTTCTCTTCCTATCTCACATACAAACCCAGCAGCTGAAAACCTACCAGGATCCATCCTTTATAGAATAGCTAAAGAAAGGCAAACTTCATGGAACAGCCTATGAAGCTAAGCACCGTTATTACTTGCAAGTTGATGCCAATCGTCATATGCAAAAGATGCTCAGCCGAAGCACATCGGCACCCAGTACTGTGCTCAGATGCTGCATCCAGACAACCTCTGGAAAGTTAGCAGAATCCAGGAGACACAAAATAATCTGAAGTGACATACAGGGGAGCTCTAAGTTTTGGCACATCTAAAGGAGTTCTGGGAGGTCCTGTTGCAGCAAAGGGCTATTCTGAACCCATCCCAATTAAACCCTAAAGAAAACGTGATTGTTCTTCAGGATGGGTTTGGCCCACGACCAACTCATGCATCTCTAGCCAAAACACTTACCAATTTGGGCCACAGTAACGTTCAGAGGCAAAATGTGAAGGACGCAGGGCATTACCATGACTTGCTAATGATGAGGGAAAGCCAGCGCCAAAGCATGTTGAGCAAGAGGAGGAGCAGGGGAAGGCAAAGAAGAGCCGAAGTTGTTCCGATTGGCACTAAACGATAGCCGACTGAAGGCAAAGATCCAGCTCCCTAACCTGACAAGACAGGAGAGCCCAAGAACTTGTATGTTTCTCTGACCTGAATTCTTCTCGGCTATCCCTGGATGGCGGTGGGAGAAGGCAAGCTGCAGAGCAATCATGGCATTCTAAATCAATGCCAGCTGCTCTAAGTTTTGAAAAAACAAACCTGGATGGGGAAGGGGGGGAAGCACTAACCAAATGACTTCCCATAGAGTAAGACCTCCACTCTAGCCAGAGTGGGTGGGATTTGCTGGTCCCAGGTCCCCCACCAGCCCTGCCGCTTTCTCACTCACCTGTTCACGCTCGAGTTTGCTCTTTCACGATACCTCCCGCTTCTCCTTCTCAGGAAAATGCCTTCACCTCAAAAACGTACACCACCTCGCAGATAGGCATGGGGAACACACTCCATCCAAACCGGGGATAGCTTCTGCTAACCCAAATCCCCACTCAGAGGTTGCCAATTTCCTCCAACATCCTATCCTGCCTGCATTTCTATCTTATCTCGCAAACCATACCATTCCTTTCAGTAGCCACCCATATTTTCCTCACCCATCACCTTAATTCATTTCTTCTCTCACTCTCTGCTTGTCTGCCCCCCCATCTTGTTTCTATAGAAACGAGATTAGCAGAGGGGGGAATAAAACAGGCCCATGTGACTCAGATTCCTACACTAAAGAATCTCCCTCCCTCCGTCTCTCTCACTCTCTAGCTGTGTTTTACATAACGAGTCATTGTACGGGGCTCAAAAAAAAGAGAAAGAGACAGAAGACAGAAGAAAAAGGAAGAGGTGGGGGAGAAGAAAGGCAATAAGGGTTGGTGGAGTCAATAGCAACCCATACTTCTCAATTCAGCTGCCAATCCATGGAGGATGAAGGCTGCAACCTTTTCACTTCTCAAAAGTTTGGGTGCAATCCAACTGAAACAGGAATTCGGAATCACAATTCAGACCTCTCCCTCATGCGTTGGGGATGCAATCCATCCTAGTCACTGACTGGTTTTGCTCCCCGGTGTTTGGGAACGGCAGGAGATAATGAGGGCTTATTGCAAAGTAGGAAGCAGACAATGAAGCCTAGCCAAAGATATTTGATGTGCCTTATATGGCTCCATGGTCTACTTATTGTCCAATGTGACAGTCTTCCACGCTATCCTTCTTTGGACTCATAACTGCTGGAGATTCATTGGGTCTAGCCTATTTATTAAGGTTTCCATGGTGAGTCCAGACAGATCTAAAGCCTAGCAATTTGTCATTGGTTCGTGGATATTAATGGTGCTGAAGAAAGCTGGTCTAATTAAACCATTCCATCTGACAAGTTTGCCTAGGGTTGCACAGGGCAACAAAATACAGAGGTGGTTACTTGCACTTTGGATATCAAATTACAAGAAAGAACATCCACTTGAGAATTGGAGTTGCCATTATTAAATTAAATTAGAATTAAATCAGACCACGATTTTGACTTCCAGAATGGACTATATTAAAATGCCTATATATTTATATCAAGCATACCCATTTGCACATGAGCAATTTTTAGGACCCCAGTTCAGTTGTGTGAGCAAAAATAATGGCAAATGTTAGACTCCAGATAGAGTATGATTTACTTAGAATAATTAACTGCAAGATTACATTGTGCAGAGGAAAATTGAATAACTCACTGAATTTTGCTTGAGCCCTTTTTTTTCACCGCAGCTATTGTGGTATTATAAGCTGTGCTTTATAGCTACACAAGCCGTGTGAACTGAGCCCACTGTGGCTTATTCACTAAACCTTGATTAACCAAACTATGCCCTAACACAATCTGTGAATTCATGCAGGGACTGATACCATTCATTTCCACTGTACGGGTTATTCTGTCAACATCCCTGGCTATTCTGGACCATGGGTTTCCTAATTCAACTTTTTAGGAAGAAAAGGAAGAAATTGGAAGATGTGATTTGCTGAATTTGTGGCTCCAAACTCAACAGCGACATCGTATACCAGCCAAGGAATGAATTGTTATATTGAACTGTAACAGCAGAAAAAAGCAGAAGAAAATCATTACGTTGCACATGAAACTCAGACACGATTCCTGGATGATTAACTCCAGATCTGTCGGTTAGACAACTGGCCGCAACCACATTTTCATGTCTCACCTAACCTGAAGAGACTTTGCATAGCGGTATCACTAACGGAAGATTATTTTGTGACAGCAAAAGAGAGAACTGGGCAGACGTGATGCTTGCCCACACATCTAACTAACCAGGTGGGTCTAAAATTTGATTCATTACAACCCAACTTTTATAGACGAAAGGAATTCTAAAGAAAGGGAGAGAATAAAAATTGCACGCCAGTTTAGGCTCTTGCTTTTTCGATGCCACATCATTCCTGAAAAAAACCTTCAAAGCAACCGTGAACACTCCTACCTGTGCTAAGTGAAGCACGATATCCATTGCAACAGGTGCTGCAGAAAAATGTGGGGTAGGGGAAGACCTGATCCTTGCTGAACCTGCACAATCTTCCAGAACTGGCAGGCCTTACGCTCACCAACTTGTATGGGAAGAGGAAAAAAATGAAACAAATTCCAAGGGATGCAGTTAGTACAATATTGTATCCCATCCTTTACCATGTAAACTGGATACAACTGGGGGTATCAATGGAAGGGCCAATTGCTCTGCAAATCATCTCCCGGTTTTGCCCTCCCCTTATGTTGATGCTAGGCATTGCCTCCAGTCTTCACAATAATGGTTGACTATAGTGGAGGTGTTGGCTGCCAAGAAGATGGATTAAATGAGATGCTTGGTAAAGGAAGGAGGGAAGATCCAGAAAGAATTAAGCAAAAAAAGGCCTTCTAAGGTGGGTTCCCCACAGCACTGAGAGAGCTGGAAAAGGATCCACTTGACCACCTGATATGGAAAGTCACTAGCCAGGAATATATTAAAAGGCCATTATCTTTGATTGATTGATTGATTGATTGATTGATTGATTGGGTGCCTTTGAGTCTTGGCTGCTGGCCACTGTGTGGAAAAGTCCCTGCAGTTTTCTTGGCAACGTTTTTGGAAGCGGTCTGCCACATTGTCTTCTTCTTCCTAGGCTTGAGAGAGAGGCACTGGCCCCAAGTCCCCCAACTAGCTTCACACCTAAGGCAGGACTAGAACTCACAGTCTCCCAATTTCTAGCTTGGTGCTTTTAACCACTAGAAGTTAGCTCTCACCTTTGAAATCACTAGTTCTTATTTGTACTGTGCGTTTGGGACATTTATACTCAACCAGAGTGCTGAAAACTTATGCACACACATCCTACTAAGCTCAGAGTCTTCCCTTCCCTGCCCCAAATCTGCTTCTAATCTTAACAGGTATAAGCAATCTTTTCAGACCCTTTCATGCGTCATGCAATCTTGGGGAATCACAAAATTGTAAGGTCCATCATCCAAAGACCCATTCAGCAGAAGGCACCTTGATGAGGTTTCTTCCCATCATCTCTAGCAAATTGTTCACCATCAGCCCAGTTTCTCGTTGACATCCCTCAATTACTTGAGGGACCACCTCCCTGCAATTACATCTACTTGTTCCATAAATTCTGGCAGGAGGGGCATGTTGTAGGTCCTGTTAGCCAGGGAATATCATCCAGCAGGACCCAGGAAAAGAGGCTTTCCTGCTGTGGCGCCCGCCCTGTGGAACATCATCCCCCTGGAGATCAGGTTGTCCCCAACTCTGCTGGCTTTTAGCAAGGACCTGAAGACATGGTTTGGCCAATGACTGTTTTGATGAATGGGATTATGGGCTGAGAGTTTTATGTATGTTATGATGACTTTTTATATGCTTTTATATTGTTTTTCTCTTGTTTTTAAAGGGTTGCAATGTTCTTTATGTTGTGGTGGTGGTGGTTTTTATGTGTGTGTTTAACTGTTTGCAAGCCACCCAGAGAGTCTCTCATATATATATGTATGTATGTATAAATAAATAAATAAATAAAGAGATAGGCGGCTATACAAATTCAAATAATAATTAAATAAACAATTAAATCCCCCCTGCCAGGGGTCACTTCCTAGCAAAGCACAAGATTACAAGCTAAAGTGTAATGCAGTGTTTTTCAACTTTAAGATGTATGGCCTTCAACTCCCAGAATTCCACAGCCAGTATGTGTGGACTTCAATTCCCAGAATTCTCCAGCCAGCATGGCTGGCTGGAGAATTCCGGGAGTTGAAGTCCACTCATCTTAAAGTTGCCAAGGCTGAGAAACATTGGTCTACATCCTGCATCTTGCCAGCTGCATCTTGAAATACCTGCATCCCAGAAGCCCCCAGTTCTACATCCTGCTGTTCTGCTTTCCCTTGCTCTCTCTCCCATCTTCCTTTTTTTTAAAATATAATTTTTATTAAAAGTTTTAAGAGCTATAATAATACAAACTAAATTGGAACAGAGAAAAAGAAAAGAGAGAAATAACAGAAAAGGCTGAAAGTGCAATAAGAAAAAAATAGAAGTAGAAAAAAAGAAAAAGATATAAAGCATGATACAATGATATAAAGAAGTAGCTTCTGATATTCTTCACAGCAGTTATAAGTACAATTATATTTTAACCTCTCTAAAGTTGCATCATGACTATCCTGTCTGATCATCAAAAGCATAAATCACAAGTTCATTTTTTTCAGTTTTATGCAAAGACTCCAGAAGAGGTTTCCAGTCACCAAAATGTAGATATTGTCCTTTCTCTAAGCAAAGAAGTCAGTTTGTCTATCTCAACAACTTCTGTCAATTTCAGCAACCATTCCTCCATGGTGGGTAGTGCTGAATCTTTCCATCTTTGTGCATATAGTAATCTCACCACAGTAATCATATATTGAAATAATCTTCCATGGCTTTTTTCTAACTGTTTATTCATCAATCCTAAAAGGAAAAGTTCTGGCTTCAATTGAATAAGAATCTTTAAAATCCTCTGTATCAATGTATGAATTTGAATCCAATTTTTTTTAGCTTTTTTACACGTCCCCTCATGTTGTCCACATTTCCAACATACATTTGGAATGCTGTTATACATTCTAGATAATTTCTCTGGCGTCATGTACCAACAATACATCATTTTATAGAAATTCTCTTTAAGACCATAACATAATGTAAATTTCAACCCGTTTAACCACCTATTTTCCCATTGATCCATCTGTATGTTATAACCAAAATTCTTAACTCCCACCTTTCTTCCTTGCTCCTCTTATTGAGCAACAAATGATGTAAGAAACTTGCAAAACTGAAACAAAAGCCCTGGACTTAACTACTTAGAACAGTGTTGTCCAAACTTGGCCACTTTAAGATGAGTGGACTTCAACTCCCAGAATTTCCCAGCCAGCCATTTCCCATG